CAAGCCGCAGCCGCTTATCTGCGAGCGACCCTTTTTATTTTTTATTTTGCTTTCTTTTGCCTTTTTTAATAATAACGAGAAAAAAATGTGTTTATAAGAGGCAGTGGTGGATTGTGGGAAGACTTAGTCATCGGTTGAAAAGTCAGGTTTCCTTCACTGCGATGCTGCTCCTTACGAAGGGAGAAAAGTTTCAGAAAGTGATGTTGCCTGAGCCTTGCTGGACTCTGCAGAAACTTGCTTCTGCCGTGACTTTCTTTTGCCTTTTTTAATAATAACGAGAAAAAAATGTGTTTATAAGAGGCAGTGGTGGATTGTGGGAAGACTTAGTCATCGGTTGAAAAGTCAGGTTTCCTTCACTGCGATGCTGCTCCTTACGAAGGGAGAAAAGTTTCAGAAAGTGATGTTGCCTGAGCCTTGCTGGACTCTGCAGAAACTTGCTTCTGCCGTGAATCCTTTCCAAGAGCTGGCCCTGGAAAACATCTCGGAGCCTCGGCCAGAGCCCCGCATCTGCTTCATGGGGAAGGATGTGCTTGGGATGGTCCAGGCCCAGGTCGCGGGCGCTGTCCGTTGAGCAGCGTGCGGGCCCCGCGTGCGCCTGTCTTGCAGCCAGCCTGCTAATGGCGTGCTCCTTTCCAGGTCCTCCATCCTCAGTGAAGTCTCCACCCGCTCGAGGTCTAAGCTGCCATCGGGCAAAAATATTCTTGTTTTTGGTAAGTAGCATATACAAGCAGTGGGGTGGTTTCTTCTTTTGTAGAGGCTAAATATATATCCGTGTTTAAAATAAGGTAACCCTAGTTACTAGTCTAAGTATTGGAGAAAGTTTATCTTGTTTGAAAGTCTAGATGGTTGCTCATTTAACTGTCGTGTATCAGCTTAACTTAGCTGTACAAGACGAACCAAAATAACGAACTAAACGATTCAAGTATAGTTTGCATAACTAAAAGCTGGCATTAAGATCAGTTTTTGAAAAGTGGATTTACTTCTGTGCATTAGCAAAGTCTGATACTGTGCTACACTGACACATATAGGTATGGTTTATTATTATTGATTTAAATGATGAACTTTCTTGTACAATAGAAGACCATATATTTCTTAATGATTTGTCTTCAGGATATTCAGACATTCCTTTCTCTGTTTTTGTGTGAATTAGAACATAAAATGCATACTTTTGGGTTCGCTTTAGATTACAGAAAGGTTGCTCTTTTGCCTGAACAGTGAAAATGCAGAAGCTATTTGGTGTTGTTATATACTTTTCAATCAAACTGTATAAAAAGTCATACTTTTTATCACCTGTCTTGATCTGGTTTACATGTATTTCTCTGCGTTTTTGTAGTCAGAAATAACGTGAACCAGTTGATGCATCCGTTTGTTAAAATTAGGTTATGTAATAAGGGATATGGTATTCCTGTCCTGAGACTGGCACATTTACTTTCTGGTTTATGCTGCTATTAGATTCTTAATATAGTTTAGACAAATGGAATGTAGCAATGGAGTGCTTCTTTATGTCTTGTCTTGGTATGAACTGTCAGATTTAGCTGGAAAGTAACAAATAATTATAGTTCAGAAATAGACAAGAATAAATTTAGTAAGCACCTTTCAAAAACTTTTTCTACAAAAGTAAAATTGATTCTGAATGTATCTTTTTTCCTGTGAAAACTTACTGGCAGGTGATGATGGTTCAGGTAAAACCACGCTTATGGCTAAAATACAGGGAGCAGAGCACGGCAAGAAGGGAAGAGGGCTGGAATATTTATATCTAAATATTCATGACGAAGACAGAGACGGTAAGTTACGTTTTATATGTAATCTTTCTGCTGTAATTAAGTAGGTGACAGCCTTTTTTTTCTTCTTCTTTCTTTTTTTTTATTGTGGTTTCATCACTGTATTTCGGGTTATATCCAAGTAGCTGGTTCCAGCATTGGCTTTCTGTTTATGCTTTATCGGTGATATCAGTTTCTGAAAAGTGAAATGCGTTTTACTGTCAGAGCGTTCTCTCCCTATTGCCCTTCTCACAGCTTGACCTGTGTAGGAGGAAACAGCACACTCGAGCAGCTCCCTCAGGATCCGTTTCCTTTCAGGACAGGTTTTTTTGCTGATGTTGACTAACTAGCAGATGAATTGCCATCAAGTCCAAGTACTTAGAGCTGTAAAATGACACATCCATGAGGACTTAAATCTAAATATGGATTTCAGGGTTTGGGTCTTCAGAGATTTCTTGCAGGCGCTTACTTAAAAGTTATGTTTGCTATGTGTAATTGAGAAAGTCTATTACTCATAGCCGAATGAGCGAAGAACAGAGCTTAAGACTGACAGAATCTGTATTTCCTTTCATCAAACGCAAGAAACTTCTCTTTGTCCCCCATCTTTCTCTTTGCTGTGGTTGAATCCTGCCGCTCACTATGCGAGAGGCAAGACAGTGTTTACAGCAGGGGAGCAGCAGGGTCTGATGATCATGCCATTCTTAGGAATGTTCCCTCAGACATGAAGAGATAGGGAATGAACTCGTTATCCTTGCTCCTCCATGCCTCTGGACATACTGCCAGATATGTGCATGCATGTGTTAATTTTCCTGTTTATAGCATGAGATTCATGCAACTGATCATGTTCCGAGTTGTCAGCTCAGAAGTGGGAAACGATGAAGGTGGTTTGTCCTCGTTCTCGAAAGTAGGTAAACTCTGTAATCGTGTTTCAGCAATGGAAATTACTGCAGGGGTGATTAAGCACCGAATGTGACTGGTGGTTACGGAGATTGGTCCTGTGCTCACATGATAGTCAACTGTCTTTGGATGCTAAGGTAGGCACCACTGAAGGATGAGTACATTGCTTGTTTCTTTAGTGACCATCTAACCTTGCACGTCTGAGAAAAGCTTCTGTGTTGGATTTTTCAGTGCTGAGGTCATTCTTGGCTTCTTGAGGTTCCTAGTGCAGGTGCTTTCTCACCATGGACCGTCTTCCTCAGTACTGCATAAATACTTCTGTGGAAGAAAGCTGCTGTTACGGGTGCCAAAACAGCCTGTGACATCAGCCTTTTTGCAGTACCGAAGGAGTTGGTATTATAAGCAGACAAATGTTTGGTGTGACATTCTTTCCGGTGCTATCAAACTTCAGGTATCTTCCTACTTTAGAAATATATGAGGATTCTTTCTGAATATCTGAAAGTGTTAGGTACCTGAAGTGGTTAGGAGAAGCTTGTTTTAACAACTCTTGCAGGGGAAGAGAATTTTTTGACTAGCCAACTTAGCTTGGAAATTGAGGTCTTCCTGCATCCCTTTAATGGGCGGGGTAGGTGCTAATAATACCTGCCTTTCCCTTTCTATCTTACTAGTGTCATCAGTAAGCAAAATAAATAGCAAAGTGGGTCAGGACCTTCCAGCAGCGAAGAAAACACCCTTCCTTCTTAAGAACTTTTTTTTTTTTTTTTAAACAAAAGTCTTTGCATACTTTATATATATGTGTATGCCCACGCACACGTTTGTGAACAAAGCCTACAACTGACTTGTAATTGTAGGAAGCTATTAAGTGAGCTTCAGGAGTTCACTAGCACTGTGGCTTCAAATCGATACTGGTAGCTGAGACTCCATAGTGGAGTGCAAGGGTTGTCATCTTCATTCCCTAGTGCTAGAAGCATTCTTTGCAATTTTTATTTTTTTCTTTTCATTTTAGAACAGTTTATTTTTTTTTGTGAAGAAGTATTTGATCACAGTGCTGAGTCATTATCTACCTTCCTATGAAAATCTTAGGGGGGAATCATCCCTATGTTGCTGCTTATTTCCTCCATAGGCTGCCCCAACCCCTTCCCATGATCTTCCCATGTCTCTCTTCTTTGGGAGATTGCTTAATCAGGTTTCCTACGTTTGAGGTAGAGTTACTCTAGGTTGCTGTATACATAACAATTCACAGTAATTCTTGTTTTTGCTATGCTCTTTGTGTTTTCACTGTCATCTGCCTCTTGTATGTAGCTTGGATGAAAGGGTATGTATATAACCTGCTGATTGGCTGGGTCTTATCTGTTTCTGTCAGACTTGAGCCAATCAATGTAACATTCATTGCTTTGGTCCCTAGGTCTTAGAATAAATCCACTATTGAGTCTATACCTGAAAAATTGACTTCCTTAGGATCTTGTGCCAAATTCTGCCTAGGCTAAGGCATTTGTTCAAGGAGAGGTTTGAAGCTGTCTGACAAGCTATCCTGAGAGAGAGAAGGAGAGCAAGAGGATTCTCCTAGATGATTAGTCCCAGGTACATTATCCTTGGAGCAGATGGCTGCTTCTACATGCATGATACTTTAGCTCATCTGAATGAGTGCATTTATAGCACTAGCTGTAAATTTTACCCCTACTATTAAGTGATCTTGTAGTTCAGGCCCCAGAATCCTGTGTTAATGGAATTTCCCAGGGAACATGGTAAATAAGATGGAATTTTTTGCCTTTCTTTGTGATGAGCAGATGTTCGGTGACAGTGCTAGACAGTGAGCTTTTGAGAGCTGAGAATCTTGGTGCATGGGATGTGGAAGAAATGTTCTGCCTGTTGAAGTATA